CATATCTGAATATACACATATCTATCAATCTATCTATCTATCTATCTATAAAATATGGAAGAATCGCCCTCCTAACGCCGGCTCGACCCCGCCCTGACCTCAGCGCCATCTGTCCTCCCGCAGGAATTTGACGTTCACTTGTTCCCCCAACTGAGCTTCTTCGATTCCCTCGACAAGCATCCTGACTTCTTCATGGTCGAAGCCAAAGTCGAGACCACTTCCAAACAAGAGAATCCGGACGCGTCGAAGAAGAATTTCCAGATCCCTATCATCGTTCAAGGAGATTTGGACCTGACGAAGTGAGTTTTTTTTATTTTGGTTGTAAGTGTTTTTCGTTTTTTTTTGTATAGGTTTTTATTGTCCATTGTTCTTATTATTGTCCTTGTTTATTCCCTTAGTGATACGTATTTAATGTTGTTGTTCTTCTTCTTGGTATCATAATATTTTATGAATGACTGATGAATCTCGTATATATATATATATATATATATATATATATATATATATATATATATATATATATATATATATATATATATATTGGGATTTAGAAGTGTCACTGATGCATAGCGGAATACTCGAATATTAAATTAAAATACGTAATTATTTCCTACTCCGTCTCTTTCTCTCTTTGTCTGTCTGTCTGCCACTCTCTCTCACTCTCTCTCCCTCTCCCTCTTTCCCCCTCTCCTTCTCCCTCTCCCTCTCCCTCTCCCTCCCTCCGCCCCTCTCCCTCCTTCCCCCTCTCCTTCGCATAGCGCCACCGACAACAGCTAATCAGTCTCCCCTCGCCAGACCTCAAAGTCCTCCCTCAAACTCTTTTTCCCTTCTGCAGAGAGGAGTCCGACCCGGATCACGTCAGCTACAACAGTTCCTCGTACTTCAAGAGCCCGGCCGAGGCGTCTACGGAGGACGAACTGGGCGAGGAAGTGACCCACAAGTACAAGCTTTACAACAAGCATCCTTATCCGATCTACAGAACTTTGTTGACCATCAGTTGGCCGCTGAAGATGGAGGGTAAGGTTTTGCCTGCGTGTGGATGCGGGGGACGGAAGCTCGTATGCACACGAACACGGACACAAATACGGTTACGGACGCAGCACGAATATACTCACGTGTACACGCACACATACATGCACACGCACACGCGCTCGCATATGCACACACGCACACGCACACGCACACGCACACGCACACACACACACACACATACATACAGAAAGTATAGTGGGTATACAGTCTATGATTTCTTATATAATTATGCTTGTATGAAAGAAAGAGAAAGAGAGAGGGGGAGGGAGAGGGAGAAGAAGAGGAAGAGGAAGAGGGAGAAGAAGAGGGAGAGGGAGAGGGAGAGGAAGAGAAAGAGAAAGAGAAAGAGAATGAAAGAAAAAAAAGAGAAAGAGTGAGTGAGTGAGTGAGAGAGAGAGAGAGAGAGAGAGAGAGAGAGAGAGAGAGAGAGAGAGAGAGAGAGAGAGAGAGAGAGGGCGAGTGAGAGGTGGAGAGGGAGAGGTGGAGAGAGGGAGAGGGGGTGAGATGGAGAAAGAAAGAGAGAAAGAGAAAGGGAGAAAGAGAGAGAGAGAGAGAGAGAGAGAGAGAGAGAGAGAGAGAGAGAGAGAGAGAGAGAGAGAGAGAGAGACAGACAGACAGACAGACAGACAGAACCATAGAAAACAGAAAAAAAAAAAATAGTAATGACAAATTCACATACACAAATGTAACGCGTACAATGCCCTTTTCATAAATCCGACAGGCCATTACCTCTTCTACTTACTGGACAACCCGAAGATAGAAGGCGTTAAAGCTTCTTGCACGTACGAAAACGGGGAAATCGACGAGTTCGGACTTGCAGCCAAGAGAAACAACCTGACCGATGTTAATACCTTTTCTCGAGCACCGGATACGGGCGCTGTTACCTCTGCAACGAGGTAGGTTCATGTTGGAAGAATCAGTGAGGGTTTTGAGTGTGTTTCAGTTGAGGGTTTTGGATGTGTTTCAGTTTTGGGGTTTTGAGTGTGTTTCAGTGAGGGTTTTGAGTATGTTTCAGTTGAGGGTTTTGAGTGTGTTTCAGTTGAGGGTTCAGGTGTGTTTCAGTTGAGGATTTAGGTGTGTTTCAGTGATGGTTTAGGTGTGTTTCAGTTTTGGGGTTTTGGGTGTGTTTCAGTTGAGGGTTTAGGTGTGTTTCAGTGAGGGTTTATGTGTGTTTCAGTTTTGGGGTTTAGGTGTGTTTCAGTTTGGGGTTTTGGGTGTGTTTCAGAGGTGTTTTGGGTGTGTTTCAGTGAAGGTTTAGGTGTGTTTCAGTTGAGGTTTTGGATGTGTTTCAGTTGAGGGGTTTGGGTAAGTTTCAGTGAGGTTTGGGATGCTTCAATGAGGTTTTGAGTGTAGTTCAGTAAGCGTTTGAGTGTGTTTTAGTGAGGTTTTGGGTGTGTTTCAGTGAAGGTTTAGGTGTGTTTCAGTGAGGTTTTGGGTATGTTTCAGTGAGGTTTTGGGTATGTTTCAGTGAGGGTTTGGGTGTGTTTCAGTGAAGGTTTAGGTGTGTTTCAGTGAGGTTTTGGGTATGTTTCAGTGAGGTTTTGGGTGTGTTTCAGTTGAGGGTTTTGGGTGTGTTTCAGTTGAGGGTTTGGATGTGCTTCAGTTGAGGGTTTGGGTGAGTTTCAGTGAGGTTTGGGATGCTTCAATGAGGTTTTGAGTGTAGTTCAGTAAGCGCTTGAGTGTGTTTTAGTGAGGTTTTTGCTTCAGTTGAGGGTTTGGGTGAGTTTCAGTGAGGTTTGGGATGCTTCAATGAGGTTTTGAGTGTAGTTCAGTAAGCGCTTGAGTGTGTTTTAGTGAGGTTTTGGGTGTGTTTCAGTGAGGGTTTGATTGTGTTTCAGGGAGGTTTCGGGTGTTGTTCAGTGAAGGTTTTTGGTGTTTCAGTGATTTTTTGAGTATTTTTCAATAATAATTTTGGTGATTCAGAGCTTTTTTTAGTATATTTCAATGAATATGTTCAGCATGTTTCAGTGACGTTCTGGATACGTTTCAATGTTTTTTTTTTTTTTATGTACGTTCCCATTCCCTTTCGGATTTTTTTTTTCTAGCGACATTAACAAATCTCAAATCCGTCCGCAGAAAATCCGAGTTTAACGTCCAATACATGGTAATATCCTGTACCCTCGGCCAACTGGACGATGAATCTCAGGTCATCGTTCAGCTAAGGTCACGAATCGTTCAAAAGACGCTGGGACAGGTCAGTTGCAGGGACAGTGTCTTTGTGCATTATTGCTGTTTTTGTTTTTGTTGTTGTTTTGTTATTATTAGTAGTAGTTCTAGTAGTTCTAATAGTATCATTTATTACTAGTGTTAGTAGTAGTTCTAGTAGTTCTGATAGTATCATTTATTATTAGTATTAGTAGTAGTTCTAGCAGGTCTAGTAGTAATAGTAGTATCATTGTTGTTTTTATTCATATTATATTATTAGTATTATGATTATTATATTTATTATTATTGTTTTCATTGTCACTATTCTTAGTAACATTATTAATCAAATTCTTCTTCTTTTCATATTGCTGTTGATGTTATTATTATTAATATACTTTTTTATTTTCATTATAAATATTATTGCTATTAATATTATTATTATTATTATTATTATTATTATTATTATTATTATCATTATTATTATTGCTATTATTATTGTTATATTATTATTATTATTATTATTATTATTATTATTAATAGTAGTAGTAGTAGCTGTAGCTCTACACAAAAAGTAATAATGATAGTGGCTATAATAATAATAATAATAATAATAATAATAATAATAATAATGATAATAAATGAAGAAATACGCTAATAAACAATCAAACCAAACCAAACCAAAACAACCCAACCGAACAACCAAGAATCAACCATTACCACGATCACCACCATTACCACCATTACCACCATAACCACCATTATCCTTCGCAGACCTCGTTTAAGGGAGGGGAAATCAACTCCAAGGTCCGGGCCCAAGTGTTGCATCTGCCCCTGAATGCAACGCAGCCCTCACCGGTGGAAGCGTCGGTCAACATTATCATTTCCAACATACCTTCAGGAACGGTAGGTGGATGGGGGGTGGATGGGAGGGGGGTGAGTGGATGGGAGGGGGGTGGGTGGATGGGAGGGGGGTGAGTGAGTGGATGGATGGGGGGGTGGGGGGGTGAGTGGATGTCAGAGTGTTTCCTTATGATTGCTATTGTTGATGGTGTTGATATGATTATTATTGTTATTACTGCTATTAGTATTGTTATTATTATCATTATCATAATTATTGTTAATGATAATATGGTAATGATGATAGTGATGATAATAATGATAATTATGATAATGATAACAATAATAATGATAATTATGATAATGATAACAATAATAATGATAATTATGATAATGATAACAATAATAATGATAATTATGATAATGATAACAATAATAATGATAAAGTTAACAATAATGCTAATAATAATGATAATTATACTACTAATGATAACAATATTAATACTAAAGGTAATAATGATTATAATGATGATTATCATTATTATCACTATGATTACCATTATCATGATTGTTATTATTATTATTGTTATTATCATTATTATCATTATTATTGCTATTGTTGTTCCTGATATTATTATCTTTATCATCATTGTTTTTATTATCATTCTTATTCTTCTTATCGTCACTGCCATTGTTATTGTTATTATTATTATTATTATTATTATTATTATTATTATTATCATTATTATTATTATTATTATTATAATAGTAATAATAATATTTTTTTCATTGTTATTATTATTATTATTATTATTATTATTATTATTATTATTATTATTATTATTATATATAATGTTCATCCTCATGATCATTATTAACATTTCCTATTGTGTTTTTTATCAGGCTTCATTATCACCAGCATTTAATATCATCATCAATTTATTATCATGATTGATAGAGTGATGAAACCAGAGCTATTCACTGAA